TAGAACACCGGCGAACAATTTAGCAAAGGCACGGGAACGTCGGTACTATATCGGTACTGCTACGTTCATTTTTGATTTGAAGTGCTTTCTCGCCGGAGCTCTGCCGATTTTCTCGCCGTTGTTAATTGCTTTGCTCCGGTTTAGTGCAGATTACGGCCACTACAGAAGATGCTTAATCCGGAATTGTATAATACGACTGCTAGAGATAATGTTTACTCCAGAAGTGCAGAATACGACCGCTAGAGAGGATGCTGATTTCGGAAGTGTAGAATACTGCCGCTACAGAGGATGCTTACTCCGGAAGTATAGAATACGGCAGCTACAGAGGATGCTTACTCCGGAAGTGTAGAATACGGCAGCTACAGAGGATGCTTACTCCGGAAGTGTAGAATACGGCCACTTCAGAGGATGCTTACTCCGGAAGTGTAGAATACTGCCGCTACAGAGGATGCTTACTCCGGAAGTGTAGAATACGGCAGCTACAGAGGATGCTTACTCCGGAAGTGTAGTATATGGCCACTACAGAAGATGCTTACTCCGGAAGTGTAGAATACTGCCGCTACAGAGGGTGCTTACTCCGGAAGTATAGAATACGGCAGCTACAGAGGATTCTTACTCCGGAAGTGTAGTATACGGCCACTACAGAGGATGCTTACTCTAGAAGTGTAGAATTCGGCCACTACAGAAGATGCTTACTCCGGAAGTGTAGACTACGGCCACTACAGAAGATGCTTTCTCCGGAAGTGTAGACTACGGCCGCTACAGAGGATGCTTACTCCGGAAGTGTAGAATACGGCCACTACAGAGGATGCTTACTCCGGAAGTATAGAATACGGCCACTACAGAGGATGCTTACTCCGGAAGTATAGAATACGGCCACTACAGAAGATGCTTACTCCGGAAGTGTAGACTACGGCCGCTTCAGAGGATGCTTACTCCAGAAGTGTAGAATATGGCCGCTACAGAGGATGATTACTCCGGGGGTATAGAATACGGCCGTTTCAGAGGATGCTAACTCTGAAAGTGTAGAATACGGCCACTACAGAGAATGTCTACTCCGAAAGTATAGAATACGGCCGCTACAGAGGATGCTAACTCCGAAAGTGTAGAATACAGCCACTACAGAGGATGTCTACTCCGGAAGTATAGAATACGGCCGCTACAGAGGATACTGATTTCGGAAGTATAGAATATGGCCGCTTCAGAGAATGCCTACTCCGGAAGTGTAGAATACGGCCGTTTCAGAGAATGCCTACTCCGGAAGTGTAGACTACGGCCACTACAGAGGATGTCTACTCCGGAAGTATAGAATACGGCCACTACAGAGGATGTCTACTCCGGAAGTATAGAATACGGCCGTTTCAGAGGATGCCTACTCCGGAATTGTAGACTACGGCCACTACAGAGAATGTCTACTCCGAAAGTGTAGAATACAGCCACTACAGAGGATGTCTACTCCGGGAGTATAGAATACGGCCGCTTCAGAGGATGTCTACTCCGGGAGTATAGAATACGGCCGCTACAGAGGATACTGACTTCGGAAGTATAGAATACGGCCGCTACAGAGGATGTCTACTTCGGAAGGATAGAATACGGCCGTTTCACAGGATGTCTACTCCGGAAGTATAAAATACGGCCCTTCCCGAGGATGCTTACTCCGGAGGAGGAGACTACGGCCACTACAGAGGATGTCTACTCCGGAAGTGTAGACTACGGCCACTACAGAGGATGTCTACTTCGGAAGTATAGAATACGGCCGTTTCAGAGAATGCTTACTCCGGAAATGTAGACTACGGCCACTACAGAGGATGTCTACTCCGGAAGTATAAAATACGGCCGTTTCCGAGGATGCTTACTCCGGAGGTGTAGACTACGGCCACTACAGAGGATGTCTACTCCGGAAGTATGAAATACGGCCGTTTCCGAGGATGCCTACTCCGGAGGTGTAGAATACGGCTGTTACAGAAAATGCTTACTCCGGAAGTGTAGAATACGGCCGTTACAGAAAATGCTTACTCCGGAAGTGTAGAATACGGTCGTTACAGAGGATGATTACTCCGGAAGTGTAGATTACGGCCACTACAGAGGATGTCTACTCCGGAAGTGTAGAATACGGCCGTTACAGAGAATGCTTACTCCGGAAGTGTAGAATACGGTCGTTACAGAGGATGACTACTCCGGAAGTGTAGAATACGGCCGTTACAGAGGATGCTCACTACTCACATCGTAAGTAACAGGATGCTTACTTCGGACACTACTGATGACATTGAGGCCATGAAAACGGGCTTATACGCTGATAGGTGGGATTCGGGTCTGACGTCATGTAACGTCCTGATGGAGGGGCCAATCAATGACAATTTTGAAAGTGGCACCACAATGAAACATCATGACCTTGACACAGCAGCATGACTTTTTCCAAGGCTATATTATTCCCACAATGGGCTAGCTAACCAGAGGTGCCCAGGGAACCGTAGCCAGAGAAAATGGCGAGATAAGAAAGGCAAAACATCACGCCGTTAACAAGGTCTTCCGCCGTGTACTGATGTAAAAAAAAGTTGCTTTAAAATGAGGATATTTCTCAGACATAATCAGGGAATGCATGGTATTAGTTTATAAAAATCTTAGGAACCAATTCTACTGGCAGTAAAACGATGTTCGGTAATGAGCCCGCTAGTGCCTTTTAAGATTTCTATGAATCAGAACGATTGCCTGCCTTAGGATGGTTCAGTAATGAGACTGTCCCTATTTTTGACTTCTGGGCTTATTTCATGTAGAGTGCAATAAAGCATTGCTTGCTTCAACACAACGGTAAATTCATCCTTTAAGCAATAGAAACCCGAGTGACCCTAATAAATTGTCTGACATTGCGTCTCAAAAAGTTGCATCTGTGTATCAATTTTGATGAAAGTGTGTTAAAGAGACGAAAAAATGCTCCAACATGTGCCTACAACAAAAATCGAAGTTCAAAAATTAAGACAGAGTGACGCAGTTTTTTTATGCACGCTCCTGACAAGTTTTTAATGCAATATAGGTCAAAGGTTAAAGTACTACACAGGCCAAGTTCTCAATGGCATGGGTTAAAGTTTAGTGAGTCAGAGTGAACTATTTACGCTGAATATTTTAGATCCATTTTTAATTCCTTTTTAGCAACCTTCAGACCACGTTTAATAAAATAACGTTTCTATTATATCTATTACGTGCACATACAACAAATAGAGTTAGTTCCCAGGCAAAGAACTGTACACTTGTTGGTCAACTTAAACGTAGGAAGCAGATGAATGTTGGTTTCTTTGATATTCTGAACAAGATGACACAGAAGAAAATCCTTGCTACTATAGTTGGCCCTAATATAATAGTCGCCCCATACGATCATACAATGTGATAGATACTACAGCAGGCCATTTTCACGTTTCGAACCTTGAAGAAAACATGTTTACGATACATGGTAGCAGTAGAATGGAGTTTCCACGTAGACTGTCATGGCTAGCTTGACACGGAAGCGTCACGCAAATTATCGATGTACATGTACGACCCAATTAAGTATTGTATCAACCCAATCTTCTGCCTGCTAATGCCCTACCACTGAATTTATTGAGACTTAACACATTTGAATAATGGTAGTCATTACACTGTTTTTAATAAACGTTCTGTCGCAAAATCCAACGACTCAGTATGATTTAAACGTCCTAGAGACATATTGATTGTACCACAATCGGATACCCTCGGGAGTTACCGGAAGACGAGTGTTTCTTTCCCTGTTTTTGTGATTTCCGGGGCTGGCCCGATTATTTTTTTCGATTGCATGTTATCCTATAATAAGCATCACACCAAGGCAAATGTCACTCTTTTTGCCGTAGATCTTGCGTTTGGTCGTTGATTTTGTAATTGCCATTAAAGGTATGCCTATCATACTACTCAACGATATGGTCAAGTCGAGAATGACTTTGTAGGCCTTCGTCTCCATGTCAATGGCACAATTGTATCCCCTTTTTTGCTTAGACCTTTTCTTGGTAAAGTAACGGTCATACAATAAGAACGGAAGGGTTATAACATTTATCTTTAAAACATCAAAAATGTCTCTCAGATCCCCAGTAAAACACATTTAAATCGTGTACCAATTCATGAATATGTGTCTTATCAAATACTATTGCACCTAGTTATTGTTATTGTCCAATGTCATTGCACTTGTATCAAATAAAATATCGTTTATATGAAGTGTTTATTCATCACTGTAAATCCCCATATCCATATCCCTGTGGTTGATTAAGCCATAGGAAGAAGTGTGTCTGGGATACACCACCAAAACGATAAAGTAGGTAGGAGAGAAAAGAAAAGACATAGATTCAGTGTTTCAATTATGCTATTTGGTTGCAGATCAGACTAGTTTCTCATATGCCCTCAACCCCCATCATCCCTCCCATGATTCTACAGGGACCCCGATATTAGTCGCCTCAGACGAACATGTAGTGGGTAAGTTACCAGTATGGGTTTGGTCGAGATCGTAAGGGTCTACACAACGCCTTGTCTTGTCGTCACAATATATACAATTGTGAGACATTGGTTTTGTATTCCTGTATTCTGTATAATTCAATTGCAAATTATGAAAATCGCGACAAAAATGAAATTCAATGAAACACTGTGATGTATCAGGTAATTATTGTGGTAATGTCGTGTACTTCGTATGACAATTACGTGCAGACATGAAACTCCACTCCAGGCATTCCTGCGAGTTGTGTGGCGTTGCAAGAACGATAACTCGAATAAATATAGTAAAATATATATTTTATTTTGCAAACAACTGGTCTGTCTTTGATCAATACCGTTAACAAAACACCCTACGAATTCCGGGTAAATATAACATTTGTTTTCTATATATATTTATAAACACCACCAGAGATAAAAAAAAAAAAATAAAAAAATAAAAAAAAATAATGGGTCAATGCTGGTATAGCAAATTGTAAAATTTTGAATAACAAAAATAATAAAATATATATACAATTTTAATTTCTGAAATATAGCAGTATGTATATACAATGCTACAACCCTATATACAAGACTAGTTAATTGATTCAACATACATGTATATCAGTTGAGCTATCAGCCCTAAATTAACACATGCTGATATATAAAAATCTTTTTACTTTTATGTGTATGTTTACGATGTTAGTTTACATGTATTATATGAAATAAAAATATGGTGTAATAAGAATACTGTACGGCCAAGTGACAATAATATGCAACATAATGATATGCAACATATATGAGATTCCCTTGAGATAAGTTGCTGAATCAGCATAAAATCGTAGGGGACATTACTCCGTAGACCATCAACAAGTAAGGCACAACATCATCACCCAATACAGGAGTACTCTACGGTCCGTGCCCAAGATTGTCGGTGACACCTGAGAGACAAGTTCTCAAGTTTCTATGACAATAGAGGAATTGGCCTTAGTCACATACGCTCACATACAGTGAAAGTCCCTCAGATCACCAGCATCCCCGAGATTACGTCCCCTTAGATCACTGACCACAGGAGTCATTCGGCTAGCCTCGGCTGATTCCGGTCATCATTTGATGTAGGCACGGGACCTGCCGAAGTGTGACCAGTGCCACAGGAGTATGTCCAATGAGCGAGTCTAACAGTTCGGCAGTATTCCCCAAGGGACATCATATAGGCTATCAGGTATACCAATAAAAACTGCTGAAACGTGCCCGGATATCACGAGTAACACCCCAACCCCTCGGGAAACGTCTATTACATCGTCAGTGACCCTCTAAGGACGACCGCTGCCTCTCCTGTAAGGTCGACCCTCCCATCATCCCGGATATGCACAGTGACGTCACCGCCTCGTTTAGAACACTGTCGAGCTGAAGGAGATAGAGCATGATAAAATAAGATTTGTTTTACAATAATAAAAGTGAATTAATTCATGGCATGCAACTTTCAGAATTAATAACAATTTGTCTTACCGTGCATTGTGTCCTTCCCCAAGACTCCGGTCCAGTAGCCAGCCAGCACGGTGTGAGCGGATCCTGAAATTTGTTTATTTGAACCGAGTTAGTGATACCGAATCGGGCTAGCCGTGTTTTACGATTAACATTAACCGATGTTAGATAGTTAGTCGGTTATTTATCTTTTCGTGGGTGGATATATAACATATGGTTTACCAAATTTTGTACACAAAGTCCACAGTTCATTTTTACAGCATTCCAGATTTGTAAACAAGACACATGTTAACAGTTTATTTCAGTTTGTTGTTCACATTATGACTCTAGATCTGCAGCCTTTATATTATACGCGCAGTGAAACATAAATAACTGAATTGTTTCTTGTTGAAGATAAACAAAATTATTTAAAGCAATTTTATATGTACAAAAGCTATAAGTTATCTGTAAAATTGATAAACGGTTTTTGTCTTTTGCAACAAAAAGGAGGACACTCTTTTGTATAAACCCCGGGAATATTTCAAAGGGGGAAGTGCAGGTCATTTTATGTTCCACACCTGGATACATAAAAAAAGCTGGACGAAATGAAAATGACCGTTAAATACAAACGCATCGTCACATGTTTTGTATGCAAAGGGGTGGGGGTGGGGGTGTTTAGGGAGAGGTGGGGCTAACATACACGCTAATGAAGATATATTACATGCCTCTTTTTCAGAGAGGTCGGTAGGTCAATCCTGTTACAATTTTTGTCTAGCCGGAAGTTCCTACCTGTGACCGGATCTTCCGGTATGCCGTTCCACGGGGCGAAGTATCTGGACAGGAAGTCGTATGTCTTCTGTTTCTTGTCCCCGTTGGCGCTCTCACTCCCTTCCTTCACCGTCACTATCACACCTCTGATTCGTCCTGAGGATTCCACATTCTGGAAATTCGTAATATCTGGTTTGAGACTCTCCAAGTCTTCCCTAAACGTCAACAAAAACAACAGATGTTAACACAAACAACAGGAACAGCTGAAGTTAGAAAGCGCTCACTGGCTGTGATAAATATAATTAATAGAATAAATTGAGGGGTATGACATTAATCCATTTTCGGTTTCCCAAACCGGACGCTGGTGACATTACAGCAGCTAAGCTTGTCTTGATCCAAGAGGGTGACAAAACTTAAGAACTAGTTGTGTCTCGACTAAAACAAGAGAGAGAGCGAAGTAATCAGTCGTAGAAAATTAAACTCAATTTAAACATACTGGCATTTACATCCATGGAGATTGTGATTAAGTGTGTTACTTTAATCTGTCAAATTAAAAGAGATATTTTTTTTCTTCAGCAACGAAACTCCAGGTGATGGTGGTAGATCTACTTTCCACCACAACCCTCTCCTGTTAACTCCTCAAACCCACCCTACCCGTCTATTGGTCTGCCCTAGTCTTTTACCAAGTACAAAGTTTACCAGGCATCATCAAACAAAAGCTTAAAGTTTGCAGTGATGTTAACTACAGCCTACAGCGATAGAAGCACGTACCTTGAACAAGTGTCTTTGAGCCTCACTAACAGTTTCTTGGTGGTGCTGGAATAATGAACACTGTCGATCGTATCCCTCTTGGTAACTAGCTACAATGAGATAATAATGTTTGTTCATTCATTAACCTCAAACCTACCCCGTTGGGGTCTCAGGCGTTATTCCTTACGAAAATTCGGAACAGGTCTTATATTCGAACACTTATATTTTTGAACTTTGTTTACGTTTCAGTACTTTTATTTCTGAACCTCCTCTATGGTTGCTGAACCGCTGAACTGCTGTCGGTTGTCACTGAATACCACCGGGATTACAGGAGAATGTTCCAACAATAATAACGCCTCTTGTAGCATCCCAATAACACCAAAGAAACAGTCAAGATTTTCTCTTGAACATATATACAAAATAACGATACAACATGTATGGTATGCCTTTCTTGCACTTATTGATTTGTTTATTCGCATCACAAATTGTTTGAAGAATACATAATCTCGTGATATAGTGTGCGATGATCAATATCACTTCAATTGACAATTGCGCTCGCATTATGTGCATTTTTGGTGTATATACAGAGGGTCAGAAAATATATCTCGGGGGGAAAAAATCAACGATGAATTAGATATCCCATCATAATATACAAACATACATTTTGTATCTTCATTTGATCAATACTACCATGTCAAACTGTAATTAAATGGGGGGG